CAATATCCTGCATGTTTGGTTTCACGGTGGATTTTCTGTTTGGTTTTTTTGTTTGTTTGTTTGGGGTTTTTTTTAGGTTTTGTTTCAGATTGTTTTTTTGGATTGGATTGGTTTGGTTTTTCCCCAGACTATTGCAGGAAAACTTGCTGTTACTTTTTTATAGATTTTGGTTTTAATAAACCAAATTTTGTAGGTGATGAAGTCCAAAACTCCTTGGGGTTGTTTGACAGTATGTATCAGATTAGGTCTAGCAGGAAGAGGAGGCCTTCTTCGTTCACACTGTATGTGTACAAGTATCTTTTCAGTTGGGGTGAGCTTTCCTAGCATGCTGCTTTCAAAACTGAAACAAAAATGCGTAGGAAATGCTGAGGGAATAATAAGTAAGTAAAGTAAAATAAGTAAAATGGGGCAAAGGGGATGGGAGGAATGAATGAGAACAAGCTTTTCTTTCACCAGAGTTGTACACCTCTCACACACTAATATCAGTGTAACTTGTATTTCAGACTGTGGCAAGAGCATTTTCATCAAGATGAATTTTTATCCTCACAATCAGAAAGACTTTTTTTCCTTTCTCTTCTTTTATGATGTTACACAAGCTGTGGTGCACTATTTTGAGGTCCTGTTAATCCAAGGAAATATCTTCAATATCACAAAATAGAAGAAAATGCCCTTTTTAAAATACACAATTGTTGAACTTGGTATATATTTTTGAATAGCATTAATCAAGATTAATGCAGCATCAAGGTGCTTTGACCAAAAGAACTGCAAATGAAAAATTAACATCAACAAAGATGTAGCTGGATCACCTTTTCAAGGAGAAAGCCAGTGATGTGTCAGAGGTCAAATCAGTCTAACAGCTTCTGCTAAAAACATAGCGGTTTGCACTGTCTTAACCAATGGGCACTGCATGACAATACAGTTATATGAATGACAGAATTTGGTTCAGAGCTGTACTTGGAAATCACAGGATGGGTACCAATGTATCTGGAAAGCCAGATTAGAAATATATAAAGCAAAAAGACAAAACTAAAAACCTCAATGTGCACCTATAGCTAAAAACCCCAATATGCACCTGTAGCTAACAGCTGAATTACACTTACATCTCAAACTTTGATATTATTAATGGAACTGTTTTACTTGAACAAGACCAAGCTCTAAATATGCAAAGCAGCAATGTTTATAAAGCTGTACCGAATCTGAATATTCACATTTACATGTACTGTTTATTCTAGAGGCTTTTCATTTTTTCCTGTTTATTCTGTTTTACTGGGAGGAGAGGGAGAGACAAAAGTAATGTACTGAATCTCTACAGTCAATTCTAAACAATAGAAGGCAGAAGAGAAACAGCTGAGAGGCACTGCTTCAACAAGTGCCATGTCCTCCCATATTATGGAAGCACAAAAAGAATGTATTTTATTTCCCCCTCCACTTCATCCTCACACCTTCTTCATATTCAGCTCTCTTCTCTAGTGACTTAGCTGAATTCATAACTTTTTGTATGTTTTTGTGGTGTCTGTGTTTGTTACAGGGACAACTTATGGAAAATAGAATTGTGGATGAAGTAGCTCTACTTTCAGCTTCATAGTCACTTTATGGAGCAATCCCAACCCTTTAGTGTAATTCCTTGTAGGACATGTCGTTGTAGCACCCAAAATGTAACTGTCAAGAATGTGAACTTCCCTTATAATGCCATTTTAAAACTTTTGTTACTTTACAACACTTTTCCCTTTTCAGAACAAACAAACAAAAAACAAAACAAAAAAGAAAAAAACAAAACAAAACAAAAAAGAAAAAAAAAACAAAACAAAAAGAAAAATACAAAACAAAACAAAAAACCAAACCAACCAAAAACACACAACAACAAAGCAACAGTAACAACAACAACAAAAACACAACAAAACAAAGAAAAACAAAAACAAACCAAAACCAACCAAATTAAAAGCCTTCAGAGAAATCTAGAGATACATGGCTCATCTTGGGTTGAGGGCTAAATCGTCATTTACAAAGCATCCCTTAATCTTTATATCTCTGCTCTTCTATTTGCCAACCTTGAAATTTTATGTACAATAAACTTCTGAAGTAAAGAAATAGTAGAATTCCCTAAATATGTTCCTGTTCTTCAGAGGAAGAATAGTGAGATTTACAATGAAGTCAGTTGATATAATACTTAGTTGAAAAGGCACTTCGCAAATCATTGCTTTCTCAAAGACAAGGAGTAAAATCTCAGCATAATTTGTCAACTGTCTATAAAAACATAGTTTAATGAAAATTTCCTGCAGACCTCCTTCTGGTTTGGGGCTGGCCATGAACATTTCAGGTGTTTTCCAGCTCTTTAGACTCTTATGTCAGGTGTGCAGGCTTACAAAGAACAAATTCTAATGGAATCCTCACAAATGCTACCAGGGTACTATGCTGCTTGTGTGAATATGGCAACCTGAACTGAGTGTGATGGAACAAACTGAATTTGAAAATAGATAAAACTGGGAAACCAAAGGAGAAATAGCAAATGCTTTGATGGGAAGTCAACTGAATTGAGACATTTCTTTGCTATAGAGACATACATAATGAAATAATATATATTTATGGTATTATAGAAACAGTTACCAAACACTTCCCTTTTCTAAGACATCTTGTTAAACATAAATAGAGGCAGGGTAGATAGCTGATAGGTTTCCTTTTACAAAGCTCTTACCCAGAGATGTGTTCATATCTTTTATGTACTAGTTAGACATTATATAGTGAACTGGCAATAAAAATCTTATAGAATTTAAAGAGAACGGGGGGATTAGAGGGAGGAGGAAATTAAGGAAAATATCTAGCTTGCAGGACTTCTTCATAAAAAGAGAAGAGATTGCTGCTTGACCAGATGTTCTCCACACTTACACTGCAGTCAGCAATCTGGGTATTGTGCATGTTCCAAAATGCAGATGTCATAAGAGATAAAATGCTGCTGCTTCAAAGTGTACAGTCTGCTGGACATAGATTTACTGACACTGTTGAACTTCTATCCACAAGTAAAAAAACAAAATCAAAACAAAACAAGACAAAAACAGCAAAATAAAAACCAAACCAAAAGCAACCTTAATAAAAAATCATATCCTACCTTAAAATCTCAGTGAGGTGTTGAAGTGAAGACTTTGGATTACTGGAAAAATAATACAGCTAAGACTGTGAATGGAGTGAATGGAGAACTGACCTTTACGCATATTTGATCTTGAATAAATAGTTTATGTTTTAGGTCATTCTAAAAATTAGCAGGACATGAACATAACTCATGTTAAGATACATTTGCATACAATGAAGGTCAGAAGACAAAAAATGTAAAAATATGTGATAAATTAATTTAGCACAAATTGATTCTTTTCTCTATTCAG